TCATTCCCCAGCAAACCTGGTACTGGACCAGTACTCTGTGATGGGCTGGAGATGCACAGGTGAAAGAATGAGATGCCTGCTCTTAAGATGTTTACACTTGAATAGGTGAGACAAACAAACTGTCAGGTTATGAAACCAAAAAAATTGAAAAACGAAAAAGTGAAGGGGCAGAAGAATGTACAAGGCAGGGTGGTGACATGGGAGAGAAAGTGATGAAATCTGAACAATAGAGAAGGTGATGCTTGAGCTGGGTGCTGCGAGGTGAGGAAGAGTTTACCCAGGAGACAAGTCAGAGAAGGCATTCTCAGCAAGGAAGCAGCACAGAACACTTTTTCTTCTGAATTTCTCTAGCATGTATGAATCCAGTCAGCATCACACCACCATGAACTTGTTTATATATCACTTGGAAATCAACTTCTTGTTTAACAAACATCTTGGTATTCTCCACACACAAGGAAAATTCTTTAAGGAGAAGGGCTGTGTTTTCTGCTGCTTTTGTATCACTCTCATTGCCTAGTAGAATCAAGCAGAATATAGAGGCTGAGAGTGCTACTTTGTTTTTGTTTTGTTTATAGGGATCCTATAGACCCATTGTCCACCCCCTGTCTGTCAGTTTGTCATACTGTGGTGGCTTGCTTGTTGCTGCGATGCTGGAAGCTATGCCAACAGTATTTTAACTACCAGCAGGGTGACCAGGGTAGACAAGTATCAGTGGAGCTTCCAGACTAAGACAGACTAGGAAGAAAGAGCTGGGAAATCTACTTCTGAAAATTAGGCAGTGAAAACCCTATGGATCACAAGAGAATATTGTCTGATATAGTGCCGGAAGATGAGCCTCCTAGGTTGAAGGCAACAGTGGACTCAAGCATGCTGACTACATGACATGGACTGTGCAGTGTTTTGTTCTTTTGTATACAGGGCCGTCATGAGTTGGAGCTGACTTGATGGCAACTAACAACAGTAGACCCACTGTAAGTAAGACATTTATTTTGAGTTACTTTATTCAGTCATAGTGATGATGGATTTGCCTTGCTTGTCCAGCATTCTGAATTCCAACCGTTTTCCCTCCCTGGCCCCATCTCCTGTATCCATCCTTCCATCCACTTTTGTGACCAATAGTGTATGCCGACAAGATGAATGGTCTATGTTATGGAAGAGTCGTTGGTCATGGAATGAAATAGAATAGGCCATATGGGAATGGAAGCTGTGGTCATAAACTTCCAGCCTGATGCTATATACTTGCTTGTTGAATAATTTGTATAATCCTATTTATAATATTCTTGATGTGATAAGTTATGATCATTCTGGGCTTGATAATTCATCACAAAGGAATTCTTTCCTTATCAGTGATGCTTATTAGACCTTTAGGTTCTTGAAACAGGTCTACTTCTGCTCTGTAGTGCACTCACCACTGTCTCCTCTCAAAATATTTGGCCTTAGAGTGACACAGAATGGAGAATTTGGAGACTGGTTTTTTTGGGAGAAGAGAACTCTGCTGCAGTTTTTTTCTTTTATAATGGATGTGATAGAGGCAGCTAATTGTTACCTAATATCTGTTCTCCCCTTTTTCCATATTTAAAAAAAAAAAAAAAACCTGATTTTTAGCTGGGTGGGTGGCTACCCAGAATAAATATTCAATTTTCCATACTCCCTTGCAACTTGTTGTGGCAATGTGATGAAATTTAGAGTAATGCGATGTGGGAAGAAGTGATCAATGCCAACTCTGGATCAAGTCTTTAATGAGAAAGAGCACACCCTCCCCTTCCTGCTTTTTTTACCTCCTGCTGGCTGGCTGGACTGTGGCTGTGATGGACCATGGAGATGAGGGCAACGCCCTAGAGGTGGAAGAGCAACAAGATAGAAGGAAGCTGGGGCCCTCCCTGGAGCCAGCATATGAGTCCTGGACTGCTTATGCTCAGAACTATTATGTCAAAGAGAAATAAATTGTTCCATTAAAGCTACGATTATTTTAGGTCTCTGTTTTAGGAACCCTGGTGGCACAGTGGTTAAGAGCTACAGCTGCTAACCAAAAGGTCAGCAGTTCGAATCCACCGCTGCTCCTTGGAAACCCTATGGGGCAGTTCTACTCTGTCCTATAGGGCTGCTATGAGTTGGAATCAACTTGACAGCAATGGGTTTTATTTTACCAGCTAACTAATACAACAGGGGATAGACAAGTTATGAAGTTCAAACAATGTCAGCTGAGTGATATAAACAAAATGAGAAACATACTTTTAAAGATATTTAATAAGACTTTTTCTTTCAAATCAGTACAAAAATTTAAATACAAAATTGATTTACTATTGACAAGTGTCAAATCTATCATGGAAACTCAAAAGAAGTTACCAGTCTGTTCACCATTCATAGTGTTCTTTAAAATATTTGAGAACAGTCACCCCCTACAGACATTCTTCTTCCCTGTGGGATGTCATACTGCATTAATAGTCTGTATTTAAATAACAATAATGCCAGTTTAGTCCATTTCACATGGAAAAGTTCTAGTTCATTTTGAATTAAATAGGGATTATAGCACTATCCCCAGACTTTAGAACACATGATTGTTTCACTTGCTTTTACACTAATGTGTTAACATGATGTGCAACACTCAAAAGGGAAACAACAGACACATAGATAATTACTTAAAACTCTTTTTTAAATTAAATGGAGTAATTCATTTAGCTCTGAGATTAGCACCATTGTAGAATACACAGTATCTGGCATAGACTTTGCTCCTCTCCCATGTACAAGCTAGAAGCATATGCCTGATAATGTACACATATATAGGCAATTGAGTAACAACCAATAAATAAGTTGGAAGATATTTTGAAAAGTGAAATTTGGTTTTAACTAAAGAGACAATTCTCGCTTGCTTGGGGAAATTAAAAACCCACACATGTACAGATAAATGCAGTTTCACAAATCAGCTGATCTGATTTGCTTCCAAGCCATTTCAATGCAGCTCTTCAGCAGAAGGAGCCCAATGAATCCATGTTGCCTCCATGGTCATCAGCCCCAAACCAGCAACCTCATTAATCATTTCACGACCAATCCAAAGGATGTTCTGCCACATAAATGCTGCTGGCTTCAAAAATGAAGGTTGGAACATCTTTTTGATGGGAAAAGTTTGTCATATAATTAACAGTGAATAAGAAATCCTGTGGTGATAAACTCATTTCTTTTTTTAAAAAATTGAGAAGAAATGGTGCTTGTATACCACGAAGGAAGACGACAGATATTATGCCAAGAGGAAAATTTTCCTAATGGTAAAATGATTCAGATTTGACATAGACACATTTCCATGTGCATTTATACCATATTTATTTGTGTATTTTCCCATCTGTATCCATCTAATTTTGAGGAAAAGATACAAGATTCTACCACCGCAATCCCACATAATTCCCCTAGTGGCTAATGGTGTCAACAGCAAGCAAACAGCAGACTTGAAATGGTTTCTTTGTGTTTTGAGGCCAGATTTGAATACGGAAACAGCATGTGCCTAAGTGAAAATCTGTAAGAATGTTTATTTCTCTTTTACAAACATGTATTGGGCCCAGCTGGCTCTTGATGGGCTGAACATGAGGCAACTTAAAAAGCATGGATGATCATTGCCCTTTGACATTCTAGATAGCTCCCACACAGATTGCTTCTGAAGAAATAGTTCTTCACTTACAATTTTAGTACCTACACCAGGAAGCAGCACATCCATTTTCAAATTTTTAACTTTTGAAATAATTTTTTCAAATAAAAATGTAGTTTCCTATGCAATTCTGAAACTTTATCTCTCAAATAAGGAATGGTTTGGATTTTGAAAATTTACTTTGGAACCTCAGATGATGAGTCAACTTGCATATATACTACAGGGAAATTCCTTTGAAACTTAAAAGCTATTGTGAAATATTTGTATGTCCTTCATGGTTGAAACCTCATTGTGGTCATTTGTGTGTGTAGTCAAGCGGGGGAGGGATTTTTATATGTATGTAAACACAATTGTTAACTGCTATTGATAGTGAACATTCACAAAACCGGAAAGTTATTGAGGGAGGGTTTTTTTTTTCCTTCTAGTAACTTCCAAGTGTTTATAATAGTTGGGTCACAGTAGAAATTACATGGAGAGAAAAAAAAAAAAAAATCAGAAAGGAAAAAAAAAGCCAACTTTGAGGAATAGCTGAGTTAATCACTGCTCATGTCTCCCACCTGGGATGTTAGCTTGTTGGCGGGCACTGCCTGATACCCCACAAAGTGTCTCACGCAGTGGTAGGCACAGAGAAAGCACTGAGTCAATAGACAATGGGTGATTGGTTCACCTGTTCTTTTGAAGACACTGCTGTTGTTGTTGAGGTGATTCTAACTCATGGTGACCCCAGGTGTGTCAGAGTAGAACTGCTCCATAGGGTTTGCAAGGCTCTGACCTTTTGGAAGCAGATCGCCAGCCCTGTCTTCTGAGGTGCCTCTGGGTGGGTTTGAACTGTCAACCTTTCAGCTAGTAGTTGAGCGCTTAACCATTTGTACCACCCAGGGACTCTAGAGAGAGACAATTTTGAATAGGACTCCTGTTGCTAATTGACGCAGCCTCTGACAAGAGAGAAATAGCTGTTGAACTAAAGTAGTGTCATGCCCCCCAACCCACTCCTGCTGGGGCAGTAACACCCAACTCCCCCTCCCCCATGTCAAAGTATCTGCCCAAATACAGAGGAAATTATGCAAGTAAATATGGTATGCAATTATTCTCATTTACGTGTCTTTAAGCTGTACTTATAGATATTTGAAAGTAAACAATATGAGTGAGTGACTTTTCATTAGCTATGATCTTTCATACTGAAATATTTTGACTGATCTGAATAAGTAGGTTATCATGGAAGCATATAACATACATCAGCTAATATGATTCCAGTGGGTACAACACACGTCAGTATTTGATACATAACTTTTATCCCATCATTTTCAGTTACAAGCTGCTGTGTAGAGCATTAAACGTGCATTTTGGTTTTTATTTGTACATGATGGTCCAAATTTTCACTTAAATATAACTTTCCAACTGTATAAACATTTTGAAGCAGTTGTGTGTTTTTCATTTGGATTTTTTGGTGCATCATTGTCACTTTTTTTCTTCTGTTTAATCTCTCTTTTTATCTTCCTTTTCTTTCTTTCTTTTTTTTTTTACATGGGATATAATAAATATCCTGAAAACGAGGAGTGGATGTACTGCCCGGCGTACAGTCCTGCAGCCTGTTCTGAGGGCATCTGGAGGAACACCCGGTCTCCGGGCCTGAGCAGCAGCACTGCGCTCCCGGATGCCTGGTCCAGAAAGCCCTTTTTGTACTCATCGTACGTGTACATCACGGGCTCATTGTTCTTGAACAGAGCAACCCACACGTTGCCCCCTTTGCAGTGAACATGGTAGGCAAAGTAGTAGACACCAGGGACTTCACAGGTGAAGATGCCCGTCTGTGGGTTGTAGTTCTGTCTGCCATTATAGAGAAGTTTGTCAAACTTCACCGGGGTCCCCACTGGGGGGAAAGGCGCAGTCAGCTCAGCGGTAAATGCAGGCATCTCGTAGGCTGGCCCTCTGTCCTTGCCTTTTTTAACCCCGTAGGCATGAGGAGCTTTCGCGCCATCAATCCCCAGCCCCATATCTGGCAGATACTCTCCATGGGGTGGTAGTGTAGGGGGCATTGCAGCTGGGGGACCCGGAGGCCCTGGAGGGCCTGGGGGTCCTGGAAGACCAGGCTGGCCTTGAGGACCAAGGGCGCCAGGCTTCCCTGGGGGGCCATGAAGTCCTGCCACTCCAGGCTTCCCTACTCCAGGGAACCCAGGGGGCCCTGGGAGGCCTGGTTCCCCTTTGGGGCCTGGGATTCCAGGTGGACCAATGGGGCCGCTAGGGCCTGCAATCCCAGGGATTCCTGGGGGGCCTTGTAAACCCTGTTCCCCTGGGATTCCAGGTTCTCCCTTAGGTCCAAGCAGCCCTGGAGCTCCAGGGAGCCCTGGTAAACCTTTGTGCCCAGCCTCCCCCTTGGGCCCTATGGGACCTGGCATACCCCTCATGCCACGGGGCCCTACTTCACCAAGGAAACCTGGCTTTCCTGGGAAGCCTTGAAGTCCTGGCTCACCCTTGGGACCTGGTGGTCCTGGGGGCCCTCCAGCCCCACCCTCTCCTTTGGGTCCAGGAAAACCAATAGCTCCTGGAGGGCCCATAGGACCTGGGATTCCAGGCAGGCCTGGTTCTCCTGGGGGTCCTCCCATTCCAGGGGCACCTACTGGTCCTTTTTCCCCTCTCGGCCCAAGAGCCCCAGGAATACCCCCCATGCCACGGTCCCCTTTGACTCCTGGGAAGCCTGGTTTTCCAATTCCTGGAAGGCCTGGCGGACCTGGCAGTCCTGGCAGTCCTTGCTCCCCTTTGCCACCTGGAAAGCCTGGCTGTCCAGGGATTCCATCCTGGCCTGGTTTTCCAACTCCAGGCATCCCCGGAGGTCCTTGAATCCCTGGTACTCCAATAGGGCCCTGTGGCCCAGGTTCTCCTGGAGGCCCTGGTTTTCCCAGAGGGCCCTGGGGCCCAGGGAAGCCTGTCACTCCTGGTTTGCCCACTCCTGGAAGTCCAACAGGGCCAGGAGGGCCATGCATCCCTGGAGGACCTTTCAGCCCTGGCAAACCTGGCATCCCAAAGCCCTTCTCTCCTTTAGGACCCTGGAGGCCTGGAGGTCCTGGTGGTCCTTTGGGTCCTCGATCGCCCTTTGCCCCTGGTTGCCCTGGTAACCCTGGCCCTCCTGGCTTCCCAATGCCAGGAAGTCCATGAGGCCCCGGAGGTCCCTGTGGTCCTGGGATCCCCATGGGCCCGATCTCCCCTTTGGGTCCAATTTCACCTTTTGCCCCAGGCATTCCCATGGCTCCTGGTTTTCCTGGCATTCCAGGCATACCTGGCTTTCCAATTCCTGGATATCCCTGTGGCCCCGGTTTTCCTTTGACTCCAGGTATCCCATGGCCTGGTAAACCCGGGGGCCCAGGGGGTCCTCTGGGGCCAGGCTCTCCACGGGGACCTTGTTCCCCTCGTAAACTGGCTAATGGTATTTCTGCTGGGGAAGAGAAGAGAAAGGAGAGAGACAGAGAAATATTAATACTGATCAGTCCTCACATCAATGAAGTAATGACATTCCTGGTTTAGTTCCGACACATCTGCCTATTTATCAGGAAGAAAGATTAGGAATAATGTGCTCATCTTCCAGGACTGTATGGTGTAAGCACTTAAAGGACAATCAAGCTGATAATTTCTTTGACATATTTGAGGTATTGTTTTGAGAACTGATATATGCAGCTGCTTCTATCAGTGTTAGTTAAGTAAAAAGCCAAAAAATAATGAAGCAACATTTTCCAAGTATACAACTTGGAGATACTATGGTATGTTTACTATAGGGATTTTGGATAATTCAAAGAAGTATAAAGAAAAATCAAAGTTGCCTATAATTCCACTACTGAGAGATAACTTCACACTTGTATGTATTTCCATCTTGTGTGTTCTAGATGTTTTGTGTGTATGTGTGTGTGTGCACGTGTGTATTTTAAACAATGTTGAAGTCATTCCCCATTTTAATTGTTTCTACTTAATGGTATATTGCACTTTTTCATGTCCTTAATTTTTTTATATAGTAATTTTTGGCTAAATGATATTTTCTCATGTGCTGAAATATAGTATGATGTGGATGATGAAAGTCATTATCAGGTGGGCTTGGGGAAGAGTAGAAGTATTTTGTATATGGTTTAATAATATCTTTCCACATCTGTCCTCTAGAGTCAAATAGATTTACTTAAATTCTTTAATGTGCTGTAGGATTTCATAAACCTCAAGTATTAATTCTTTAATAAATTCTCATTTTCAAATTTGGTTTTTAAACAGGAATGGTGAGTAAGGTATTTTGGGATGACAAGCAGTAGGGTTAAGGAAGAGAGCTAGGTTTGGAAGTAGGGAGCTCTGCTGCTCTTCCTGGCCTTGACATGAGACCTTGATCCTGTCCCTTAAGCCATCAGCACCTCTGATTTCCTATTTGCACAGTGAGAATAATACACCCGCACTACAAGATCAGATAATAGATGTGAAAGGGGTTGTGCTTTCTTGAGTTGTTATTGAAATACAAAGCACATGTTACTAACGATTATGATCTGCCTTGCAGAGAAACACAACTCTGTATGTCCCATGCTACTGGAAGTAATGGATAGCATAAACAAATGAAATTTATTGTTCCAAAGTATTATTTTAAATAGTAGTATCTTCATTTTGACCCCTTTATTTTTCACCAAGCTACTGGCAGGAAGAAAAAGAACCATAAACTCACTTTCTTTCCAAATTCCCTGATTTGCTCTCTGGTACCCATCTGCATAAGTACAGGAAGTCCCAAAAGGCTGGCAAGCCATTCACAAAAGGAAGAAAAACAAATGACCTAGATAATCCCCTGAGTGGAATAGCAGCTCCTAAAGAGAAGAAAATTAGTAATACTTCTTTTATGCTGTTGTTGTTGTGTGCTGTCAAGTAGATTCCGACTCATAGCAACCCTGTATGACAGAGTAGAACCACTGCATAGGGTTTCCTAGGCTGTACTCTTTATGGGAGCAGATCCCAGGTCTTTTTTACTGTGGAGCCTCTGGCTAGGTTCGAACCACTGACCTTTTGGTTAGCAGCCGAGCACTTAACCATTGCCACCAAGGCTCCTTCTTTTATGCTAATAGATATTATTATAGTGCTATTACAGCATGTTATTTCTAAGCAGCAAATTGCATTGTTACTGTATCAAGGGGAAGCCACCACTCACCTGACCCAAGCCATAGTATTTTCAATCACCCTATATGCATGCGAAAGCTGGACAATGAATAAGGAAAACCGAAGAATTGATGCCTTTGAATTATGGTTTGGTAAAGAATATTGAATATACATGGACTGCCATAAGAACAAACAAATCTGTCTTGGAAGAGGTACAGCCAGAATGCTCCTTAGAAGCAAGGATGGTGAGGCTTCGTCTCATGTACTTTGGACTTGTTATCAGGAGGGAATAGTCCCTGGAGAAGGACATCATGCCTGGTAAAGTAGAGGGTCAGCAAAAAAGAGGAAGACCCTCAACAAGATAGATTAACGCAGTGGATACAACAGTGGGCTCAAACACAGCAATGATTGTGAGGATGACATAGAACCAGGCAGTGTTTCATTCTGTTGTACATAGGGTCTCTATGAGTCAGAACCAGCTCAACAGCACCTAACAACAACAACAACAACGTCTGGGGCAGGATCACGTCTTATTAGTCATGAATGTCTGGTGTCTAGCATAGTGCCTGGAACATTCTCTGTTCTTACTGAGGATTTTTTGAAAGACCAGCTGTTCAACAACCAGCTGTTGAAGGCCCCATGGTGGTTTGGCATTTATTCACCACTTTTACTTACCTCATGTCATTAATTTTCTCAACAACCTTATTTTGTGGATGAAGAAAGGTGGGCTCAGAGAGTTTAAATAACTAGGTCTCTCATTTCTGGTATCTAGGACTTTTACTGCTAAATCCAGTGGTTCTCCAGAAGTGGAGTTTCCTGCTAGTGCAGGCACTAATGGGAATGGCCTCCATTTCCTCAAAAAGAATTGCTAGTCTGATGCAGCTATTTGCTTACAAATGTTAGGTTTCCTAGAACTGCACATAAATCAAGTGAATTTGTGGGAAAGTGTCATAGTGCTAGGCACTTTGTAGGTGCTGAATAACTAATATATACGCCTAGAGTGGGAGAGACTTCCAGGTGTCATCTCTAGATGCAGTCTGTACCCTCTAGTTTCTGTCTGTCGATTTGTTGATTGACATGTGTAGTAGCTTAATTATGAAATATTAAAAATACTTGTATTTATATAGCACCCAATTTACAAAAAGGAGCTCTGATGGTGCCATGATTAAGTTCTTGGCTGCTAACTGAAATGTCAGTGGTTTGAACTCGCCAGCCACTCTGTGGGTGAAAGATGTGGCAGCCTCATAGGGTTTCTGTCGTATGGGGTCGCTATGAGTGGGAATTGTCTCAGTGACAACAGGTTTGGTTTGTTGTTTTTTAATTCACACAATGCTTTTGTATGATTTTTCTTTTCTTCCTCCTCCTTTTTTTTAAACATAGCAGCTCCTTACATTCTTCTAAATCAGAAGACTGACTTGACACTTTTTTGGTTTATTTTTTTCACTGCTTTATCCCTTAGAATCTGGCCCAGAGCCTGGCCACAAAGTAGATGCTCATTAAATAGCTGATGAATGTGTGAACAAATAAATAATAAGGACATAAATCATTTGTTATTAAAGATATTTTGTTTCGTTTGATTCTAGTTGAAATAACAAGGCAAAACATAAAATAATAATTTTATCTGTATCTTTCTTTAGAACTTGAACAGGGCAGTGGTGGTTCAATGGTAGAATTCTCATGTTACATGCAGGAGACCCAAATTCAGTTCCTGGCCAGTGCACCTCATACACAGCAACCCTTTTGCCAGTGGAGACTTGTGTGTTTCTGTACACTGAACAAGTTTCAGCACAATGGTCCAATCCCATTGTGCTTGGGGCCCCTAAGGGGCTGACTCAAAGGCAGCTAATGATAGGAAGGCATTTAATAAATGTCAGTAACAAGAACTAAAGTAAAAGTTTCTAAAATTCAGCTCCCCCCACCCCAATCCCACAATTTAAGATTTTGGAAAACTGCTGTTTTAAACAACACGGGAATATGACCCTTCACTAATGTTACCTTTGCTTTTCTTGGATGCTGCTTGCTTGCCCATTCTTGGCCCCGGTGGAATTTCCTTCATATACTGGGGTAGTTGTGGATACCCTTTGCCATACTGCAAGTGGGGCACCTCCTTGCCGATGGCAAGGCCATCTTTGCCCAAAGGTATGTGAGGTACTTGCTGGCCCAGGGGCTGGTACTGTGGAATTTGCGGTGGGATCTGAGGAGGCATTTGAGGTGGCAGCGGCTTGATCCCATAGTAGGCAACAGCCTGAATGAGCCTAACGTAGCCCAGGGTAATGGTAAGCAGCACTCCCAGCAGCTGCAGCGGGGCAGGCGGCCCAGCCATCACCTGTGAAAGGGAGGAATGCACCAACATGGTGAAAGCCTGTAGGCCAAGTGACCAGAGTTTACTTAGAGATGGGGTGGGGGGGGGTAAGGGAAACAATCTTTATCATAAAAACTTCATGGACCGAAGCAAATGAAAAGAAAGATGCTGCTTTTCAACAGAAAAAAAAAGAAAAAACCATTCAAACACACACACAAGAAAAAAGAGTAGGATCTGGCAATTGGTGGGAATACAGACTATAGGAGAGACTGCTAGTTGCCCCACATATCAATTCTGCTCTTCTTCCATAGCATTGAGACCACTGATTTTCAGCTGGCAACAGAGCAGCTTGAATGAAGATGACATTTCAGCTCGGTGTGGCCATGTGACAAAGTTTGGGCCAACTGAGTGTAATTGTAATGTGTACAGTTGCCAAGAAGGATCCTAAAAGAGAGTCCTCCTCTTCCTTGTTTCTTCCTTCTGCTGGCTGTGGATGTGTTGCCTGGAAATGGACTAGAGATCTGGGGTTATGAGGTGAGAACCGAGACCTGAAGATGGCAGAGCAACAAGCTGAGGGCAGCCTCGGCCCTGGGTGAACATGGAGTCTCCCTGCCAATCCTTAACTTTGGACTTTGGGTACTCGAGAGAGAAATACAATTCTATCTTCTTTAAGCCACTATTATTTTGGATGCTCTGTCATTTGCACCAAACCTAATCCTAGTGGATAGGTAGACTCTATTAAAAGAAGGCAAACTTATTGGCAAGTCAGGCTTTCTTAATGAGTGCCAGAATTCAACTGTAAATGGAGACAGTTGATAATTTACTGACTTTAGCCCAGAGGCAGAGATTTTTCATCTGTCAGATGCCTTTGGTTGCTTCCTTGTGGTCACAAATAAATGTAAAGATTAAAGAACAAACAACAACAAAACCTGCAGAAGGCTTCTGTATTGAAGAATAGGTGCTTCATGTGACAGTCCCAAAATGTCATTTTAAAAATCACTGTCATAATTATGCATATATACAGATACTATTCCTTTCTTCTGTTTAAATATTATGAAGTCATTAGTTTAGAACTTGGCTACTTGGGCTTGCCGTAGACTGAAGTTTATCTTTGTACTATTATGAAAGTACTATGTATTATTATATGTACAAGTTATTTGTATAAATATGATAGGGGGAGATGTTTAATTACTCAAAAAATAAACTGTTTCCAAGCTCATTAATAGTACTCTTTGCAAATGAGCAGTTAATAGAGTAAATATAAATGAGGCTTATCTGTTTATAAGGAGCCCTGGTGGCGCAGTGGTTAAGTGCTCTGCTGCTGACTGAAAGGTGGCATTTCAAACCCAACCGTGCTCTAAAGGAAAAAGATGTGGCAGTACACTTCTGTAAAGATTTACAGCCTTGGTAAACTGTATGGGGCAGTTCTATTCTGTCGCTATGAGTCAGAGTTGACTTTATGGCAATGGCTTTGGTTTTGATTTTTTAATCTGTTTGTAAAAAGCAGCTTGAAAAGACCTCTGTTAGGAAATGTAGGCTGAAGACTGAACAGTTAGCTGAACAATGTTAGCAAACGCACACTAGAGGGCAGGCGCAGTACACGCAAGTCTGCTCAGCTGCCTCTCCATGATGCTAACACCGGGAATGCAGGAGTCATGCTCTCACACTTATTAAGGGACTTAATGAGAATCTGAATCCTAAATGGAGCATCATGATAATGCTCATTGCTCAGAGAGAGAGAGGGAGAGAGAGAGAGAGAAATGGCAAGTTCCTCACAACATTTAATGTGTCTTCTGGAAAATTTTGACAACACTCTGTCTATAAATAATTTTCATTCTCACAGGAGTTTTTTTTTTTTTTCTTCTGCCTTAATTAATTCTGGACCACAGCTTTCCACTTTTAAAGAAAATGTGCATTGACTGTGTGACATCTTATTCAAGAATAATGCCAAGAGTGTGAGCAGGCTGCAAAAGGATGGATTAATAAAAAGCACCTGAGAAAATATTTATTATAAATCCCTACTACAGAATTCACTGCTTTGCAAATTTTTCTGAATACACCTTTTTCCCCACTTCAGGAAAAAATGAAGAAGCATTTGTCAGCAAAATGATTGATAAAACTTTCCCTGTTTCATAAATCAGAATAGTTCAGGAACTGTTTGTTTTAAGGATACTCTAAGTAGTCTAGGTTCTGGTAAAATGGAGTAAGATAGAAAGCTGTTATTTTCTCTCTTTCTAAGAATGATTGTTATAAACCATTTGGAAAGAGCCACAAAATTAATACTGATTTATACTCATTTAGAGTAAAGTTAATTTTAGATGGAAAAAGAACATCTATCATAAGCATTCACACACAACAATCATTTGTTGAGTGCTTACCAGAAACAAAGCTAGCCCAGGGGTTACAAAGAAGGATAAAATGTGGTCAATAGGCCCCACCCTCAAGGAACCTGTACTCTTTTAGTAGAAGTGACAGATGTGTAAACTATTAATGAGTAGCAAAGAATATCCAGAAAAAAGTAAATTTCCCTCCTACTTCTGATCGCCAGTTCTAAAATGCCTTCCCTTTGAAGCAATCACTTTTTTTGTTTTTCCTCCATGTTTTCCCAGAAATAGTCTATGAATATGCAAACATACTATAATATACACTCGTTTAACAAATGAATTACAGTATACTATGCACACTTCTTTTCCTTGCTTTTTTTCACTCAGAAGTCCAGAATTCCTGATTTTATTTCTATCTTAGGAATGTGTATTAGAAAAATCCCTTCAACTTCATCTGTTAAAAAAAAAAAAAAAGGCCTAGTTGTTCTCTAATATCCTGTCTAGCTCTAACATTCAGTGTTGCTAAGGTAGTCCCTATAGAGCTGAAAGTGTTAATCCATGCCAGGAATATTTGGTGATACGTGGTAATGTATAAGCTGGGACTTAATTCCACCTTTGGGGATGAATGAATTTAATTAGTGAACCCTAAACTTAAGGTGATTTCTTTAATAATAAGCTAGTATGGTTGGCCCTTCAGCCTTCCATCAGTTCACTGGATGCATTGGATTATACTTAATAATCTCTAAAGCAGGACAAGCTAATGAAATACTGGAAAACTGGAAAGAGGCGAAATGGCTGGAAGAAGACCAGTTGAATACCAAAAGCCCAGTGGGATCCTGCCTTACTACACTTATTTCCTCTTGTAGGCTTGGCCTTTCTTTCCCCAAAACCACCTCCATAGGTCTGCCATCTACTATTGGTTTAAATAAACTTTGTTCAGTTTTAACTTGAATATTTATGTAGAGGCCCTGGTTAGAATTTACCACTTGACTTATCCCTACTAATTTCCCTCCTGTACCTGAGCATATTTCTGGTGGTCAAATTGGTGTGGTGGTACTTCCCAAATCACTCAAAAGAACATCAGATTTGTGTAACTATACAAACACCTGGTGGGGTAAGAAGGAGCTTTGGAATTCCTGCTGGGAAGAAATGGTGGTAATGGGTTTCCTGATCTGTTTTTTCCTTTTCCTGAGGATACAGAACACAATAACATTGTGGGTTCTGTTTGATGCTTTCTTGGATTTCTATTTGTTTGGCAACTGATGTGTGTGTGTGTGTGTGTGTGTGTTTGTGTGTGTGCAAGCATGTGTGCATGTGCATAAATGTATCTGTGAACATAAACATATCTAACTGGATACTGGATCTTTGGCAGCCAGGCTGGCTTAGTGATGGGTGTCACGTAATATGGTAAAAGCATCGTAGAAAAAGCGAAAGACCTGGATTTGAATTTCAGCTCTGCCATTCTCCATGTCTGTGACCTTGGACAAGTCCTTTTCTTTGCTAAGTCTCAGTGTCCTCATTTATAAAATAGAAATTCTAATCTTCACCTGTCCCACAGAGCTGTTTGTACCTGCCAAACCAAACCAAAGCAAACCCATTGCCATCGAATCGATTTCCGACTCATAGCGACCCTATAGGACAGAGTGGAATTTCCCCATAGGGTTTCCAAGGCTGTAAATCTTTATGGAAGCAGACTGCCAAGTCTTTCTCCCTCGGAACAGCTGGCAGGTTCAAACTGCCCACCTTTTGGTTAGCAGCCAAGCGCTTTAACCACTGTGTCACTAGGGCTCCTTTTTGTACCCACAGAGGGGTACAAATGATAACACGAATTCTTTATAAGCTGAAAAGCAGTATTCAAATTTAAGTTGTTATTAATGGAGCTTGACCAAAAAGACAAATCAAAACCAACTGAAATGTGAAAAACTTTCAAAGAAGGATACTAGCCAAAGTAAATGTGAGGTTAACTGCAATAATGATAAACCTAACACAAATAAAACAGTAACGGCCATTAAGATGTACTTGTAAAAAATGGCACACAGAACCGCTGAACCAAGGCAGTCATTCAGCCTGGGTGTCAGAGTTACCAACGCTGACTGTTTTGAACAGCCCTAATGGTTTGCTACATTTTGGCAAGGCTGCAGGCAGTTTCAGTTTCCTTATGTGACCTGTGATGCATATAATAAAGAGATCTATATTATTTCAGATGCTCCTTAGTATTGTTTGTACATTTATCCTGATGAGAATTTGGCTTGCTGTCCAAAAGAATGTTTAAGTATTTAAACCTCCAATCCTTTCAAATATGTCCTAAATCCAAATTTCCTATTACATAAGGTTAACAGAGCATGTCTCTGTGTACACATGTACAACATGTGTGTGCACATGTTTGCTGTGCACAAGTCTCTCTGATCTGCTTCTGGGCTGCTCCTCCTCTGTGCCCCCTGTTGCCCCCTGCACAAGATTTGTCATTTCTCCAGAGCCTCAGACTTACCACCCCCTGAAACAAGGGAAGTTCAGGCAGAACCCTACTACGGTATTCACCAGAACTATCTTCTGGGATTCTTCATGCCTCTCAAAGAACACTCTCTCCTGACTGCATTTCACAGGGCAATTCACTTACAGATATTTATTGAGCACCTCCTCATGGTTAGGAACTGTTCTGGGTGCTGGAATTACAGTGGTGAATAAGAGAGATGAGGTCCC